TGAGGCTGGGGGGCGACAGGCGAATGTCCGAGTACGATAACAAGTTTGGCTTATTCGAACTCGTATTACGGCGGGGACACCTCGCGATTGGTATACGTATCAGCAAGAGTGAAATACAAGATACTCGATACAATTTCCTTTCAGGAGACAGGAAAGAAAAAAGGAGCACCTCGGGAACAAGAGGTGGAGTCGAAAGAGGGAGAGAGGTGAGGCATGGAGACATGGAGAGAGGAAAGAAGGGAGGGAGGGAGGGAGGGAGATCGGGTATTGAGGATCGAATATGGAATTGAATATTGAATCGCGAAGGTAAAAAGAAGGGCGACCGAATAAAAGGACCAAAAAAATGGAATGCATAAGGGAGAAACGCGCCGAGGCGTCAAAGATAGACTACTTATACAGGAGGGGAGAAGTTGAGGGAGCTGAAGAAGAAATTGATCTGAGCTGGAACAATGGGCACCGGGCAGTGGGTAGTGAATGGCGGATCGTGGATGGTGGAGGGAGGGCAGCGAGGTTCAAAGTGTTGGGCGGAGAGAAAAGAGGGAAGGGTGACAAGGCAAGCGTTGTGGGGGCATACATTTCAAGAGTCGTAAAAGTCGTGAACGCGTAACTGAAAGAGGGAAGGGAGGAAAGAAAGAAAGAAAATCTCGCAAAACCAGATCCCAGATCTCAGGGTGCGAGAGGGAGGAAAGGAACATCTCCAGACTCCAAGACTGCAAGCACTCACTCAATGACCTCGAAGCGGCCCCTCTTTCCTTCGCGCACATCATCGACATTGTCCAAACCCCGCTTGTTCGACAACCCAATAGAGTTATTGATCTCAGAGGGCATAACAACCTCCGTCGAGGTGTCCATAATGATGGCCTCCTCCATGATCTCCCCAGTCGCGCCAAGGAGGTTCTGTAGAATGTTCGAGTACTGCTCGTCGGACATCCCCAGGCCCGCCAGGGGATTCAGCTTTCCGTCGTCCTCGGACATGAGCCCGGGTGCCGCGAGCGAGGACGATGGGTTGACGGTAAGCGCCAGAGAGTTGTCCATGCTGCCGTCCGGCATCGGAGATAGAGAGCGTGGCACGCGGGAGAGTTGCTGGATTTGTTTCAAGTGCGTGAGATGTTTCTAGAAGGGGTGGTAATATTAGACCACGAGATGTATGCGGGCGTAGGGCGGCACCGAATTACCTCGAGGATGGTAAACAACCCCTCCTTCGTGAACGGCTTCGGTAGGATGTCGTTCATACCGTGCGAATAATAGGTCATAATCTCGTTCGGCTTCGAGTTGCTCGTCATCGAAATAATCGGTGTCCGGTGGTCAAACTGGCGAATGAGGGATGTCGCAGTGACGCCGTCCAGTTTAGGCATAACGATGTCCTATTCAGGATCAATATATCTGAGCTCCAATAACGCCAGAAAAGGAAAGGAACAGATCCGCACCATCAACACGAGGTCGTATTTCTCCAGATTCATCTTGTTCACCGCACCCACGCCGTCCACAGCCACATCGATAGTGCAGCCCGAGACTTGCAGGAATTTGGACGAGAGCCGGCGGCTGACGACATCGTCCTCGACGAGGAGAACACGTGGCGGGACGGCCCACCCGGGCACGAACGTCGACCTGCGAACGCGGATGTGCTGGGATGCGATAGAGCGCGAGCGGCCCGAGGGGCTCGTCGTGGGCGACGTGGAGGTCTCTATGGAGGGCGTCGTGAGGCTTTGCACCTGCATGGGGTGCAGCGGCACAGCCGGAGCCGCAAACGAGGGACCGGCCATCTGCTGCTGCTGATGCGCAGGGAATTGCCATTGGGGATCATCCCCCTCGCTGCTCGAGAGGCTGTCGCGAGGCATCAAGTGTCCGAGGGTCAAAACGTGGAGCCCCGCGTGATGCTGAGAGTCCGGACCGGGATTGAGACTGGTCGCCGCGAGGAACGACTGGGGGAACCCGCCTGGGTTAGGCATGCGTGGAATCTCTTGCGGTTCTTCCTCCATTGGCGCCTGCTGCTGCTGCTGCTGCTGGGGGCGCTGCGGAGGTTGCGGCGGTTGCGGTGGCTCGGGCTTCTGCTCCTGCTCGGCGACGATCGCGGACATGCTCGCGGGCGCGCGGCCTGCTCCGAATCCACCGGACACCGACGAACTCGGCGCCTCGCCTCGGGAATTCCCCATCATCGGCTGTGAAGAAGTAGAGGCTGCAGGGGGCTCTGCAGCATTTAAACCTCCGCCCTCACCACCTGACTTCCTCTCCCTGGAAGCACCATTTCCGTTTCGGAATTGCATCCCAGCGGCGTACGCGCGTCGCGAGATCTCGTTCATCTGCTCGAATGTCGCCCGGGCGACCGACTCGTTGTATGCGGACGGGAGATCTTCCGACTGCACGAATTGCGAGCCTTGCGAGCCTTGAGCTTCGTCGAGGGCCGCAGCCTTTCCTTTCGCTGAAGGCGAGATCCATTAGTACGATGAAATACGATGACCAAATATCGCGCTTGCCTCCTTCGAGCTGGACGAAGTAACTGATGAGATTCTGCATGATACCATCTTGTGCGGCCACGTCCCGTTGAAAGTGAACCATTCCGTCGACCACATTCTGATAGTTCTGCTCGAGCTCGGCAACACGGGCCTTGAGCTCGTCGTTCACACGGACCATGGCGTCGATCTGCATCTGCAAGTGGTTAATGGATGCAGAGGGCGCGGCCGGTGAGGGGAGCGAGGTCGGCGAATTGGGATCGCCGGAGGCCTGGTTGGATGACCCGGCGCGGCCATTGGCAGCAGAGCCGGCCGACTTGCGGGAGGTGGGGACTTTGCGCTTGATATTCTCGAGCGCCTCGCGGTTATCGGCGCGGAAGTCCGGATGACGGAAGGTCCAGCTCTATAAAGAAAAAATGCGGTCGTGAGACGGGGCAGATGACTTAGGGTGTGGTCAGCTGGGGTGGGTGGAAAGCGGAGGCACGCACGTGTTCGCCAAATGAGCTGTCCTCGGTGTTTTTGACCTTGTGAAAGTCGTACTTGTTGAGCTGGCGGACGAAGGAGGCAAAGTTGGAGTGCTTGAACATGCGGGGGAGGACAGACTTGGTGAACTCGGTCATGTCCTTGACGACAAAGCAGTCGCCGGCGGGGCCCCAGGAGACGATCTCCTCGCACGTATTGTCCTCGAGCATCCTGGATTTTTATTGTAGTTAGTGTAAGATGAGATATCAATGAGCATGGCGAAAATCGAAAAGTAAAGACGCACTTGTACAGTTTTTTCACAAAATCGCTGGTGGGAGGCATGCCCGAGTCTGCATCGCGAGAGGACTCTGCAAACGCCGGCGGCTGGGGCTTTTTCTCCGGGGTGGGTGCATTCATGGAGTCGCGGCGCTGATGGTGGTGATGGGGCTGAGATGGCGGGGCATGCTGCTGCTGGTGCTGATGGTGATGGTGGTGGGCGGGGTGGGGATCGTCGCGCATCTGGCTGGTGTGGTGGGAGGGCCAGGAGTGGGAGGAGCCGGAGCCGGAGGAGGAGGTGGGCGATGGGGCATACTTCTGGATGAGCGGGGGCGGAAAGGAGGGCGGGGAGTGGTAGGGGCGCAGGGGGAAGGAGGGCACGGGGAGGGGGAGGGTGTTGGGGTGCGAGGGCGGGAACTGGGGGTTGTGGGCGGGGATGGGGAGCGGGAGGTGCGAGGCGGGCGGGAGCGAGGGCGGGGTGTATGCGCTGGCGGACGGCGGGCGGTGGTGGTGGTGCTCGTGGTCGGCGGGCTGGCTGGCGGCCGGGCGGTACGGGTGGTGGTGGTGGTGGTCAGTGCTCGTGCTGCTGCTGTTGGCCATCCCAGCGATTCCTCGGGTCGGTCGCGGTCTAGGTGCTGTGGCTGGACGTGGTTGCAGCGGCGAGTTCTAGACTTCCCGCCGTTTGTTTTGCTTCCCCCGGATCCTCCCAAAAAGCACGCCGCTTCTCTCGCTTTTCGCGGCTTTTCGTCCGCTTCCGCCCCACTCGTCCCCCGCGCCTTGGTCTCTGGCAACTGCTCGTCTCAGCGACACCAGCAGCGGCCACCGCTGTGCACGTACGACGACGAGCCAGCGGCCGCCACTAATATTATTAATGTCAATATCGCAGGCCGTGGGCCTAGCTCATCTTTCGCCCGTTGCTGCTTTCGAACGTCGGGTCTAGGCATCCTCAGGATCACGATATATGATACTTACATGTATCCGCACGACCACTACCATCTTCACAACAAAGAGAAGCGCCCGTCTGCGCTCTTCCCTTCCCGCTCTGGGCTCCCACCATCATTCATTTTAATTTCTAGCATCGTACCCATCGACCCACAGAACGGTTGATGTGGTCTGGGGCTAGATAGAGTTCGTCCGACGCCTCTGCCTAGATCGCGCCATCGCAGATGGCGCTCTCGGGCCAGACCACTCAGCATCCTTGGCTTGCATCCTGCTCAGGTTCTGCACTACCATATTACACGTCTGGGCTCTGGAACGCGATTCAGTGATTATTATCCCCAAGCACATCTCGACATATACGTCTAACTCGTTTTTACCTGACAGCCCTGCAATTGTATTCCCGCTCATTATTCTTACGTGTGCCTATAAGGCGGATTCAGGTTTCATTTCCACAATTCAAGCTTTCCCAGGCCTGTCAGTGTCTCGACAAACGAGATTGTGATGGTGAGAACCGTGTCTTATTTGTGTTGTCGAGGCACCGTGGCCATGATTCAACCATCTCACCCGGCTATGCCTTTCAGGACGTCCGCCATTGAATGGGCCGAGAACTCGACACTGCACTGTTCACACTGTTCACATCCATGTCGGTGATGTCAAAGCAAGTGGGTACCATCTAAATACGAGCGTGCCTCGGATGAGTATTAGTATCGCAAAAGCTCTCTTCGCCACCTTAGCTCGGTGGTACGAGCATTGTGCTCATGAAAAACCTGTTTTATCTATGCGATGGTCCCGAGTCTAATCGGAGGAAACACTATCTTGGGCCTGTCCCGCCCATCGTCGTAATAAGATGGCCTTGGTCCGTGGTACATCGACGTTCCCTTAGCTCAGTGGTACGAGCATCGTACTTATGGGTAACCTGTATGGCTATGCGATGGTCCCGAGTTCAATCCTCGGAGGGAACAGTCTTTTTTGAAAGATTACAGCGACAGCACTTGAAATGTGTGATGTCTGTTTCTTTTTTTCGTCGTAGTCGCGATCTGCGTTCTGAGTCTTTCACGCAAGACATACTAGGGAAGCAGGACAGAAGCTTCAGGGGCTACTAAATAAGGAAGCTGTCTGATTACGTAACGCATAGCTATATGTGCATTACTATTAGTGCCTAGTGGCATTCATCCTGTTGCCACAGTCCACAACTCTCCAGCGGTTGCAGCGCGTCTTTCTTAGAGGTCCATTTTCAATCCGAATCGATGAATATATGCACTAGCTCCCACTGATACTCACGCACATTTAGATGGTGGCAAGTTCGGATCTCAAGGAGAAGCTTTCTACGAAGTCACTTTGCTTGCTAGACGAGCTGATCCAAAGCCTAAAGGAGCCGGGTGGCGGAATTGGCACTGATGGTTGCGACGACGCCAGGTGCATATTTCCGGCCATCACTCATCATGTAGGAATCTTACTGCTATTATTCCCAGCTCATATGCGTGCATCGAAGAGGAGAGAGTGCGATTCGACCTCGCCGCCGAGGTACTCTTGCTCGAAGTCTCTCGTATCAGAGCCAAGCGGAACGCATTTTCGCCCATCAATAAGCTCCCCGTTGAGCTTTTCTCCCGAATCTTTCTCTTCGGAGCACTGAGCGATATCAGAGACTCCGCGCCCCTTCCGTCGTCTTCCATTGCCGCGTCGCATGTTTGTCGCCGCTGGAGGCAAATTTCCCTCTCGACGCCATCGCTGTGGACCCACTTCCGCCTGAAAACTTGTTGCGAATGGGCTTCGCGCGCGGAGGAACTACTACTACCCCAGGACGTTCTCGTGCTGCCAGACAATTTTAATCCGGAGAACAGCCAGGATTGTGGGGACTGCGAACCCAATCTGCGAAACATGCGCAGTCTCCGGATCAGTTTGCGTGCTCTTAGGTGGAATTTTGATCCACTCTCGTTGGCCAGCTACATGTCACTCCCTGCTCCGAACCTCACATTCCTGCAGCTCACCGGCGAAGAGTATTACGATGACAGCGATGCTCATTGCTACAGTCACGTCAGGTTGCCCCCGTCTCCTTTTCAAGGGCAGCATAATCTTCGACACGTTGTTATCTCCTGCTGCGCTCTGAGCTGGGATTCGAGCATATTTACCGGGCTTCGCCGACTAGAGCTTCACGGCGTTCCCGATGCTTTCCATATGCGTGTGGACGAGCTGTTGTCCATCCTGGGAGCATGCCCCGCAATGGAAGAGTTGGCCATCATGGACTGCCAGTTTGCGCAGCGCAATGTGCCGTTGAGGACGGTTCCACTTCCGCGTCTGCGGTCCTTGTTATGGGATACGAACCTCGGATACGTGCCTTCTTGGAGCGGCTGGTTCAAGGCCTTGCACAATATCCTGATCTCCCGGAACGCAGAACTCACACTCCGCTGTGCGACCTCTTCATACGACATACACGCTATCCTGGGAGAAACCCACGACTTGGCGCACCTCGGCCCAGCCGCCCCTCGCGACGTCTCCCCTCCCGTCCAGATCGCACTATCACGCTGCCGGCACCTCGGGTTTGGCTATCCGGATCGGAAAGATTGGGTCAACGAGTACGAGGATCCTGGATTTCCGGAAAGGATCACCATCGACTTTTCGGGTGAGATCCTGCAATTGTTCTCCAGACCAACGGAGCTGGATTATCATGAGCCCACTCCCATGAATTTCGGCGCGAGCATGCTGATGGCCTGCTTTGCCTCACACTTGCCCCCCGACTGTCCCATCCGCACCCTAAGCCTATTCCGCGGGGAGCCGCTCGATGGAGCGGCCTTCGTCGGAGTCATGCGCGCCCTCCCTCATCTCGCGAAAATCACGCTTTCCGAGATCTCGTTCGAGTGCGCAGAGGAGATATTCAAAGCCCTCGCTGATCCGCAGTGGAGCCACCGCATCGAGGAGGTTGTTTTCCATCGTTCTGCGGAATTTCTGTCTTCCCTCGCCGCCGCCATTGAACCCTACTTCCGTAGGAAAGGGAAGGCTTGCGTGCGCCGAGTCACGCTACGAGACTGTGCGGAGGTAAATGAAACGACGATGTTTGTTCTCAAGAGGTTTGTTGAGGTGGTGCAGGATTAAATGTTGAAAGACGAGTCTGCTTGTCTTTAGAGTGGTGGGGATTGATGTAAGCTCGGTTGATGATCGGACAAACGGGACTCAGTCGTGCGCATACTGTTGTTCAGTATTAGTCCGCCTGGCTCGTATTAATATCAATAGTTTCTAAGCTAGTACCAGTGCTTCCTGGGCACCGTTGCGTTGGGTCGGGGGGGGGGGGGGTAAGGAGAAATACATCGGGATGAGTGGCTCGTCGCCCTTGATATTCGTGCCATGCGCTTCAATTCGTCAGTAAGAGCGCTTATACCGGGCTCCTCACAGAGATAATATCACAGCAAAGAGCGAACGTTGGCGGGAGAAGCCCAAAATTAAAATCATACATGACGCGGCATGCAAGCTTGATTACATAACATATTGCTACAAATATCTACCCAACAATTTCTACCGTCAGTACTTACTTAACCACGTGTCTAAATGGTGGCAAGGTCGATTCTCGAGTCCAAGCTTTCTACAAAGTCGCTCTGCTTATTGGACGAGCTGGTTCAAAGCCTGAAGGAACAAGATGCCGCGATTGGTACAGACACTTTAGAAGAAAGGTGCACATGCCAGCTGTCGGTGTAATACGAACTGCACTACTAACCCACGCCCTTTGAATCTTACTGCCATGATTCCCAGCTCATACGCGTACGTTGAAGCAGAAAGAGTCCGACTTGACCTCGCCGCCGAGGTGCTGCTGCTCGAGGTCTCCCGCATCAGAGCAAAGAGGAACTCCTTTTCTCCCATCGATAAGCTTCCTTTCGAGCTTCTCTCGCGAATCTTTCTCATAGGAGCGCTGGAAGATATCGAAGAGTCCGCGCCTCTTCCATCGTCCTCCATTTCTGCGTCGCACGTCTGCCACCGCTGGAGGCAGATCTCCCTCTCAACGCCATCGCTGTGGACCCATTTCCGTCCGCAGATTCGTGCGGAGTGGGCCTCGCGCGCACAAGGGCTGCCGCAGGACTTTCTCGTATTTCCAGAAAATTCAAAGCTGGAAGAGGTTTACTATGACTGCGAGCTCAGCTTGCGCAATATGCGCAGTCTCCGAGTCTGCCTGCGTGCCCTCCGGGGTGGCAGAATGGCCCCCGACTTATCCAGCTGCATGTCGCTCCCTGCACCAAAGCTCACATTCCTTCAGCTCACCGGCGAAGAGTACTAGGATGAAGGTGGCATCCACCACTACAGTCATGTCACGCTGCCTTCGTCCCCGTTTCAAGGGCAGCATAGCCTTCAAGAGGTTGTTATCTCCTGCTGCACCCCGCGATGGGACTCGGGCATATTTTCTGGGCTCCATCGGCTCCACCTTCACGCAATCCCCGAACCTTTCCACGTGCGCGTGAGCGAGCTTCTATCGATCCTGGCAGCGTGCCCCGCACTGGAGGAGTTATCAATACAAAAATGCGAACTTATAGCAGCAAGTGACGTGGCCTTTAAGGCGGTCGCTCTGCCGCGCCTCCGGTCCCTGATATGGGACACAAATCTGGGATTTGTGCCTTGCTATCATGGCTGGCTTGAGGCTCTGCGCAATATCTTGATTCCCCGGGACGCAGAATCCACGATTCGATGTGCGACCTCGCGGTACGACATACACGCTATACTGGAAGAAGGCCCCAAGCAAGCCCTAGCCGCTCGGGGCCACGATGTCTCCCTTCCCCTCCCGCTTGCGCTCTCGCGTTGCCGGCACCTCGTCTTTGGCTACCCGCCTTTGGAAGATTGCGTCAACGACCACGATGATTCTGGATATCCAGAAATTACCACCATCGACACCTCGGGTGATACGCTGGAGTTGTTTTCCCGACCGACCGAGCTGGACTATGGGTTTGAATATACTTGGACAAATTTCGGCGCAAGCCTGTTGATGACTTGCTTTACCACACACCTGCCCCCCGGCTGTCTTATCCGGTCCCTAAGCCTGTACCGCGGGGAGCTGCTCGACGCTGCAGCTTTCGCCGGAGTCATGCGCGCTCTTCCTCATCTCGCAAAAATCACTCTCTCCAAAACTGCGCCCGAGTGCGAGGACGAGATATTTGACGCCCTCGCCGATCCCCAGTGGAGCCACCGTATTGAGGAGATCGTTTTACATCGGTCTGCAAACTCGCTGAACTCGCTCGCCTGTGCCATCGAATCTCATACCCGTGGGAGAGGGACGACGTGCATGCACCGAGTCACGCTCGAAGATTGCACGAACGTAAACGACAGGGAGATTTTTGCTCTCAAGAAGTTTATTCAGGTGGTGCAGGTGGACGGCGAGTCTGAATTTAGGGACGGGGAAGAGGAGGGGATGGAGCTATAGTTTTTATGGTGTCTGTCTCCCGGCTCGATATCTGGGCGTGCGAAGGATCGGGGGGCGGGTGAGAAGTTGAACGTGCTTAAAATTCCATACTCCGCCTTATCTACCGTAACACGAGGCAACGGCGCGTCCGACTCCCCACCGCGTCCCTACTGTAAATTCAGGTACCAGTTTACTCGCAGCACTAGCTCTGAGCAACGTTAAACATTTGCACTACTCCATAACAATACTCGCACATATTTAAATGGCAGCCAGGTTGGTTGCTTAGCAGGAATATCTTTCGAGCCACTTTGCTTATCCGGCGATCCAACTTTAAGCCTAGAAGAGATGGATGCCGGGACTGACACTGACAATTGCGAGGACATCAAGTACGTATTAATGCTAGCCACTATCATCGCAATCCGAGTCACATTGATGATTCAAGTGCCTTCAGTCCCACTGCTGCTACTCGCGCGCACGTCGAACCGGAGAGCACGCGATCCGACCTTGCCGCCGAGCTACAGTTACGCGAGATCTCCCCCATCAAAGCCAAGCAAGGCTTCATCTCCCCCATCAATACACTTCCCGTCG